ACTGAAAGCTCGGTCTTAAAAAGAAAAACATCACAAATTCCAAGCATTCAACATCTACGGTTGTGTTTACTTCAACACAAATGTGTTTGTATGCTGCTTTGATGAATCTGTGATTCAAATTTTAAAATTGGGTGAGTTGAAGTAACATCACAATAAGAAGTATATTAAAGGGCACCTAGGTTACCCCTTTTTTTCAGATTTAATACAAGTCTTTTGCGTCTCTAGTCTGTGTATATAAAGTTTCAGATTAAAATACCCATCAGATTTTTCATTATACCTTTTACAAGATGCTGTTTTATACTGATTTCCAGCAGGGGGTGGTTTTGTCGTACTGCGCCTTTAAGACTAGTCTTTCCCGCCCACTATTTCTACATGCCTCCTCCCTCAGCTGCGTCAGACAACAGACAGACTTAAAGGAAGAAGGTCTCACGTAGCGTTTGTGAGATACTACAGTAAGAACTAACCTTTACTAATCAGTATTGTGAAGTTGCATTGAGTCACACACAATATCGTTACAAAGTTAACGCGCGCGCCCGCGCACACACACCGCAGATGACACACACACACACACACACACACACACACACACACACACACACACACACACAGGCAGGCAGGCAGGCAGGCAGACAGACAGACAGAGTGCGCTTAGCTTAGTTAAGGCTAACCTCAAGTACTGTGTGGATATCTGTTATGCTAATTTACAAAATAAACCTGATTTAACTTCCACAAACCGGGATTGAAGCGTCTTCTTTTATAATTGTTCTGATACGCGGCTGTGCTGATGAAGTAAAGCTGAATTAATTAATTACACACATACTCTGTTTTAAAACACTTTAAACATGTGAAACTCACTCTTAATCACATTTGATGATGATTGCTGATCCTAGCGAACAGAACAGACCTTTTATTCCCGGTTGCTTTGCGTATGTCTGGTGTTGTTGACATATACACATGACTACCGGAACATGTTAATGTGCGCAGCTGTCAATCAATTCGGTGGGCGGGGGGAACTCGCACACCTACGTAATGGTGCGATCGATTTGAAAACAGCTCCAATTGGCCGACCCTTTTTTTTGTAGTTAAATTGAAAAAAAAGGACTGGGTGTGTTCATATCACCCCAGTATGACGGTCTATACACTATACCAACACACAGATCTGTCCAAACAGCTTGAAAAGTAGATTTTTTTTTTTACCATAGGTGCCCTTTAAGACTGTTGTAAAGGGATAGTTCACCCAAAAATCTAAATTTACTCACTATTTACTCTCCCTCAAGTGGGTAAAACAGAGTTTCTTTCTTCTGCTGAACACTGAAAAGCTGAAAATATGTAACCATTCACTTCCATGGTATCAAATGCAAATACTATGGAAGTCAATGGTTACAGGTTTTCAGCATTCTTAAAAATATCTTCCTTTGTGTTCAGCAGAAGAAAGAAATTCATAAAGGTTTGAAAGAAGTAAACAAATACAGATTTGAATTTTTGGGGTGAACTATCCTTTTAACATTATCATGGCAGGATTTTGATATTAAAGTGTCATTTATTGGTCTGTTGGGGTAACAATTACTGTAAATACAGTAAAACTGCTGTGGAAAAACAAACAGCCCTCCAAAAAAAGGAGGAAAAACAACACCAATTTATCCCAGATTCCCCCAAGATTGAGACACCAGAGGTTAAATGTCTTACACTCAAGGACACAGCGGTCACAGTTTGTGAATTTACCCATGTGGGGTTTGAACCTGCAAAACCAAACCTTTCTACATAATGCATGAGTCAGTGGTGTGATGCTGAATTCTGTTGTCTAAATCGATTGAATCATTAAAAGTACACCTAAATATTAATAAAATAAGAGCAAATGCACCTCTTTTATGATATTTAATTTTTTTTCTTCTGTTCTATTTACTCTCCCTCAAGTGGTTAAAACCTTTATGCGTTTCATTCTTCTGTTGAACAATAGAAAGCTGAAAATCTGTAACCATTCACTTCCATGGTAAGAAATACAAATAATATGGAAGTCAATGATTACAGGTTTTCAGCATTCTTCAAAATATCTTCTTTTGTGTTTAGCAGAAGAAACTCATAAAGTTTAAAAAGAGTGAGAAAATTATAACGGATTTTTTTTTTTTTTTGGGGGGGGGGGGGGGTTGGGTGGGAAACTATCCTTTTAACATTATCATGGCAGGATGTCCATATTAAGGTGTCATTTATTGGTCTGTTGGGGTAACAATTACAGTAAATTCCAGAACTTCAGTGGAAAAACAAATAGGAGAAGAGAAGGAAACAAACACCAATTTATCCCAGATTCCTTTAAGATTGAGACACCAGAGGTTAAATGTCTGAGACTCAAGAACACAGCGGTCACAGTTTGTGGATTTACCCATGTGGGGTTTGAACCTGCAAACCAAACCTTTCTACATAATGTATGAGTCAGTGGTGTGATGCTGAATTCTGTTGTCTAAATCGATTGAATCATTCAAAAATACACTTAAATAAAAATAAAAAAAGAGCAAATGCACCTCTTCTTGATATTTATGTGGATTAGTCAAGTTATTCAATCATCTAGTCATTAAAAAAATGTCATGTTTATTATTTAACAGGTTGTGAAGGATAATAGTGTATTGTTTTTCATATTTGATTTTAAATGTTTTGATTATTTAGAGAAGCTTATTCTAAATGGCTGTAATAATATTTATTTATAATATTTCAATAAAATAAATGCAGCCATGTCAGAGACTAAGTAAATTCTGAAGTATTTAATCAATATATTCAATATATTAATATAAAATATAATTCATTCGTTTCCTTCGGCTTAGTCCTTTTATTCATTAGGGTTCGCCACAGCAGGATGAACTGCCGACTTATTCAGCACGTTTTACACAGTGGATGCCCTTCCAGCTGCAACCCAGCACTGGGAAACATCCATACACTACGGCCAATTTAGTTTATTCAATTCACCTATAGCGCATGTCTTTGGACTGTGGGGGAACCGGAGCATCCAAAGGACACCCAAGCCACCACAGGGAGAAGTGAATTAAACAAAAAAATTAAGTTGTCCCCCCCAAAAAAAATATCAATAATTGTTTCAAGCTCATTTTAATTAAGTTGTTTGAACAAGCAAGAAGTAAAATGAGTGTATAATCAAGAGAGGATATCATTAAAAGTTGACCATTATTAAACCTTATTTACAGAACAAATGTGGTGATCTTTAATAAAAACTACAAATAATTGTTTAACTTAAGCTTTAAATCCTGGAAATATTACCATTATTGATTGAACAAACTCACACAAGCTTACACAAACTCTTTTCATACCCCTCACTGCATACCATCAAGATGTAACATGCACTGCACTTTAATCAATCCTTATTTAAAACAATATTGCCTACAATAATTTTCCACCAACAGTCAGACTTTGTGTACACCTATTTATTGTGTTCAATGTATTACCGTCAACATTGCTAACTGGATATTGTTTTGTTTTTTGTTTTTTTGAGTATGTTGTTGTATTTTGCACTGTCTGGAGCCAGCACTAAGCTTTTCACTCATCATAGTACATGTGCTACTGATAATGTGACAATAAAAGTAATTTGATGTTGGTTTTTTTGTTGGCACTCACAGGCCACTTTATTAGGTACACTTGCTGCAACATTCGGATGGTAGGGTCAGAATTTAGCATCAACAACACAAAAGCATGGATCCATCCTGCCTGCCTTGTATCAACAGTTCAGGCTGCTGGTGGTGTAATGTTCTGGGGGATATTTTCTTGGCACACTTTGGGCCAATTAGTACCAATTAACCATTGTGTCAATGCCACAGCCTACCTCAGTATTGTTGCTGACCATGTCCATCCCTTTATGACCACAGTGTACCCATTTTCTGATGGCTACTAGGATAACGTGCCATGTCAACAAGCGCAAATCATCTCACACTGGTTTCTTGAACATGACAATGAGTTCACTGTACTCAAATGGGCTCCACAGTCACCAGATCTCAATCCAATAGAGCACCTTTGGGATGAGGTGGAACGGGAGATTCGCATTATAGATGTGCAGCTGACAAATCTGCAGCAACTGCATGATCCTATCATATCAATATGGACCAGAATCACAGGAATATTTCCAGTACCTTGTTGAATCTATGCCACGGAGGATTAAGGCAGTTCTGAAGGCTAAAGGGGGTCCGACCTGGTACTAGTAAGGTGTACCTTATAAAGTGGCCAGTGAGTGTATATTTGTTCAGTGACAACTTGTGACATGCTCCCTATATTGTATACCATGGTACTTTGAATATTTGGTTTAAAATTGCATGCAAACATGACTTCAAAACAACTTTAGCACTATTTATTTGACTGTGAACAATGGTGTACTTTAATATTCAATAGCTGCTGCTAATATTTTTAGGATTTTTATGAAATATTAAGGAGAAAGTCCAAATCTGTGAACATAATAGCAAGTTTACCTCAATCAATTATTGTTATTTTCACGAGTGAGTGTCACTCCTCATGTTAAATAAAAATAAATCTGGCTGAAATCATCACTTAATGGTTCATAGATTAAAAAAATGTTTTAGAAAGTATTAAAAACTAATTAAATTCAACACCACAAACAGTACTACCAAATCTTTACAACAATTATTTGTCACACACTGCAAAAACATCCTGGTTGCCTTAAATTTTTTAAGCCGAATCAAATTAACCTTATGAGTCCATTAAACTTACATTATGTTAAATTGACTTAAAATAGCTTGTGTAACATAAAATAAAGTTAGAAAATTATTAACTTAGTTTAATAAGTTACACTGACCTACAATATATGCTGTCAGGACTAAATGATCATATGTTTTTACAGTGCAGGCACATTTGCAGCGATCAATGTCACCTCTGCTATTTGTTATGATGCTCTGGTAGTAATACCACGAGAATCCAAAAATCACACCATAGTGATACTGAACAGCCACAAATGTCAAAGCACCCATTAATGCAATATAAACCCTCAGACTCACCTGTTCTGCGCAGGGCAGGCTGAGGACTGGGCAACCCGCTGCTGATGTGGTATGAGAAGCGCATGCTTTTGAACTGGCTGGAATAGGAAGACGAATTGTGCGGACTGGAGCTGATGAGATGCGCGCTCTTGGGTCGATTCAGCTGCATCCCTGCCTGCAAAACCCCAGGCACATAGGATGCAAGCTGCGGACGATTTCCACTATATTCCAAGTCCAGATGTGAACGCTGGATCTTGAAAATTACAGATCCAAAACCACCACGTCCTGCTGCAGGCGCCGTAAAGGGTGAATCAAGCAGATCGATTCCCCCTGATCAGCCGGTGGAGAGTCAATCCGATCGCTTTCACCAACAGAAACAGCCATTAAAGGGTCAGCTTAACCAGAAACACATACAAGTCCCAGCCAATGTGACATGAAGAACTCCCAATGCGCAATGACCTTTGTGAAAACCATTCATCCTCTTCGCGGCGTTACGGTCTTCCTCCTCCTCACAGAAGCGGTTTATAACGTACGGACATTATGAATCCACAACTACATGACGTTTCCAGCGTAAAAGAGCTTTGAATAGCCGCATTGGTACAGCTAGTGACATTCGCGGTTTAAAAGCAACTTTCCCATTTCGTCTCCCTCAAACTTCTGCTGTCGGAATGTAAACGGCGTCGCATTTTGTCGTTTATTATCCCCAACGTTTCCTTTCGGTATAACCGTATCTAAAAATATGCCCACTCAGCTGCTTTAAAACAGAATCCACGTTTCGCTGTGTGGAACTCCTTTCGAATGTTGGCGTGTCCTTTTAAGCGGGATCTTCAAACAAAACAAACGTTACAATGTCGCGACGTTTCATTGTTACTGTTACAATGTTACAATTCCGCTCTCCACCGGTTGCTTGTCTGTTCTTTTGTGGGACTCGACAACGCCAAAGTGTGTTAAACCGAAAACCTCCTCCTGCTTCTCCTCCTCCTCCTCCAGGACATATGAAACCAAGCTTCAACCCCCTCCATCTTTCTCCTCTTTTTCCCAAAGTCTGTTTCTCATTTTTTTCTCTCCCTCTCTCTCTCTTTTCCTAAGGGTTTGTGCTTGAAATCCGACGCAAAGGAAAAACTTTTCAAAAGGATTTGAAAGTCGCCTCCTGAGGTAAAAACCTACCACATTTATCCTAATCGAGGAGATCGTTTATATTGCATGAATTAAACATTTACACCCCATAAAAATATGTGGATTTTGGAAGAGAGTTGAAGTGGTTGTAAACATGGACTCGTCCCATTTGACCTACATTGAACCAGTAGCTAAAGTTAAGGAGGAAAGGGAGGGGAAAAACTCGCCTGATTCAACTTTTAGCCAGCTTTTGTGTTTGGGTGGATCTAATTGCGTGTCATTAGGTTAATTGCCCTCTATTGTGATGTAACCTTTCATGACCCCTGTATTTTAAATTTTTATCTCAATTATAGATGGTTGAATTTTACATTAAACATCCAAACCAAATTCTCATTTATTTTATGGATGTACTGTATTAATCATATTTTTGGGTAAAATGTTAATATTTATAACATTCTATAAAAAAGTTAACAAACTTACCATTAAAAGCAGTAATTTAGTTGTTGTTATTGTGAATATGAAGCCTTTCCTTAAAAACTGATTTCTAAACCCTTCTAAAGTTAAAACATGGATATTATGGGTTCTAAAAATCAATATGAACATTCAATATCTGGATAAATTCAACAAATTAAACATTAAATTCAGCCATTTGGAGTTATTGTTACTGTAAATAAGAAGCTCTTCCCTAAACATGGATTTCTAAACCCTTCTAAAGTTAAAACATGGATATTGTGTGCTCTAAATGAATGCTTTTAACGTTAAATTTGTTAGAATTTATCCAAATTATGAATGTTCATATAGATTTTTAGACTTATTGTTATTGTAAATAAGAAGCTTTTCCTTAAACATGACCTTCTTAACCCTTCTAAAGATAAAACATGGATATTATGGGTTCAAAAAATCAATATGAACAATTAACATCTGGTTAAATTCTAACAAATGTAACATTAAAAGCAGTCATTTACAGTTAGTGTTGTTATTGTAAATAAGCCTTTTTCCTTAAACATTGATTTCCAAACCCTTCTTAAGTTAAAACATGGATATTGTGTGGTCTAAAAATCAATATGAACATTCAATATCTGGATAAATTCTAACAAATTTAACATTAAATTAAGTCATTTGGAGTTATTGTTACTGTAAATAAGAAGCTCTTCCTTAAACATGGATTTCTAAACCCTTCTAAAGTTAAAACATGGATATTGTGTGCTCTAAATGACTGCTGTTAATGGTAAATTTGTTAGAATTTATCCAGATTATGAATATTCATGTTGATTTTTTAGAGCACACAATATTCATGTTTAAACTTTATAGAAATCCATGTTTAAGGAAAGGCTTCTTATTTACAGTAACCATAAATCTAAATGACAGCTTTTAATTTTAAATTTGTTAGAATTTATCCAGATTATGAATGTTCATATTGATTTTTAAAGTTATTGTTATTGTAATTTAGGAGCTTTTCCTTAAACCTGATTTCTAAACCCTTCTAAAGTTAAAACATGGATATTGTGTGGTCTAAAAATCAATGTGAACTTTCAAGATCAGGATAAATAAATAAAAAATGGAACACTATATGCTGTTATTTAGAGTTATTGTTACTGTAAATAAGATGCTTTTCCCTAAACATGGACTTCTAAACCTGTCTAAAGTTAAAATATGGATACTGTGTGGTCTAAAAATCAATATGAACATTCAATATCTGGATAAATTAACAAATGTAACATTATATGCAGTCGTTTAGAGTTATTGTTACTGTAAATAAGAAGCCTTTCCTTTAATATGGACTTCTAAACCCTTCTAAAGTTAAAACATGGATACTGTGTGGTCTAAAAATCGATATGAACATTTAATATCTGCATGATGTTGTGACTAATAATTGTAATTTATTTAATAAAAAATACATTCTGCCTGTTGACTTTTGCTGCCAGGAGAAACATTTTGATGTCATGGATCAATTATAAACCTCCTTCCATGAAAGGATGGCATTCAATCAATCAAGTGATTATTTAACATGTCTTAGCCACTCCACGACTGGTACATTTATTTATACTTGATCACCACATTTGGACAATATAAACTTTGCTGTATACAGTATGTGACATTTTGAGACTCGAAATGACAATGTCCGTATGGATAATCATTCATGTGCGTTCTGTTTTCATCCTTCTCACTGGTTCCGTCATATTGTATTGTTTGTAGCACAATGGTCTATGCCAGGGGTGGGCAAACTCGGTCCTGGAGGGCCGGTGTCCTGCACAGTTTAGCTCCAAGCCTAATCAAACACACCTGCTTATAGATTTCTTGTGATCTTAAAGACACTGATTAGCATGTTCAGGTGTGTTCGACCAGTGTTGGAACAAAACTCTGCAGGGACACTGACCCTCGAGGATCAAGTTTGCCCATCCCTGGTCTATGCATTTAGCCATGTGTGTATTTCTGTATATGCAGTATTGTTCTGTGTCAGGCATTTCATGTTGTGTTTGTAGTTTTGTGTTGTAAGTCCAAAAAGAAAAAAAAAAGAAAATGTAAAAGAAAAAAAATACACTCAGACAGAAATAGTCTTTTGTCAGAAATCTTTACACATAGAAACTATTTATATTCAAAGGAGTGATTGCAAAATAAAATCGCAAACTTCAACATTTTAACTGAACTACATTTTTTTATTTATTAGATTTTGATTTAATATTTTCTCTCAACATATTTATTTGGGTGTACTAATTTTTGGACTGGAGCTAATCTAATAAAAAAAATTGATCACAGTTTTAGCGGTGGTACTAAATAATCTAATATATTACTGTAAAGCATTACACTAGCTGACTAAAGTCTTGTCGTTGATCTTAGTTGTAAGAGCACCAAATAACAACTTGACTACTAGTTGATTATTTAAAAAAAAAAAAAAAAAAAAGTGGCAGAAGGTCAATTTCTCAGATGAATCAATTACTGAACTGCATCCCAATCATCACAAATACAGCAGAAGACCTACTGAAACCTGCATGGAGCCAAGATTCTCACAGAGATCAGTCAAGGAAAAATCATGGTGTGGGGTTACATTCAGTATGGGGTGAGAGATCTGCAGAGTGGATGGCAGCATCGACAGCCTGAGGTATCAAGACATTTGTGCTGCCCATTACATTACAAACCACAGGAGAGGGCACATTCTTCAGCAGGATAGCGCTCCTTTTCATACTTCAGCCTCCACATCAAAGTTCCTGAAAGCAAAGAAGGTCAAGGTGCTCCAGGATCGGCCAGCCCAGTCACCAGACATGAACATTATGGAGCGTGTCTGGGGTAAGATGAATGAGGAGGCATTGAAGATTAATCCAAAGAGTCTTGATGAACTCTGGGAGTCCTGCAAGAACGCTTTCTTTGCCATTCCAGATGACTTTATTAATAAGTGATTTGAGTCATTGCAGAGATGTGTGGATGCAGTCCTCCAAGCTTATAATATTGAGTCAAACACAATAATAATTCATTTCCAATGCACCATGACTTTATATTAAATACTGGACATTATTCCTGCTAAGTGACAAGACCTTTTTCCAAGTAAAGTCAGACCTTACTGTCCTAATTAAATAATTAAAAATCAAAATCAAGGCATGATCATATTTTATTTAGGTAAAATAAGCATACTCTAGAGGCCTTTGCTTTTCATATAAGCCACTTCTGATTCCAAATGATCAATTAGAAGTCAAGTTAATATTTGTTGTTCCTAAAACTTGGATAGGCGACAAGACTTTTTAGGTATAGAAAAGATTAATTTAAGAGAGGGATTCGTGAGGGGTGGGAGAAAGAAAAAGAGAGGGAGGCAATAAGGCAAATAATACCAGTGTTATCACTTTACGATTTAATATTTTCTCTTTTTTACTTTACAGCAGGGATCACCAAACTTGTTCTTGGAGGGCCGGTGTCCTGCAGATTTTTGCTCCAACCCTAATCAAACACAGACTATACTAGACACCCAGGCAGGTGTGTTGAGGCAAGTTGGAGCTAAACCCTGCAGGGACACCAGCCCTCCTGGACCGAGATTGGTGACCCCTGCTTTACAGCTCTAGGCTAACATTCTTGAGTTTGTCACAACTTAAGCACATTAACAAGAACCGCCACAATAACAAAACATAATACCTATTTTTAATTCTTTGGGGTTTAACAACCTCTAACATGCCCTTGACAGGCTTGACAGGAACCCGGCTTTCTGCCTTTCTGTCAGCAGTGTGAACCTTCTGAATGCGTTTTCCCATAAATGAACATGTTATGGGTGGAAAGGGCGCCATCAAACTCGCCTTTGTTTATATAAGTGGAGTTCGTACAGGCTGAGTCAGTAGATTCTGTCCAGCTGCAGGACTGGATCTCTTCACACGTCTCTCTTAGCAAAGCATTTTCTGCATGTTTATCATCACTGCTTAATCATCGGAGGTTTTAATGAGCTACATGTGATGCTGAATCGATTCTTGCAAATGTCAAATATAATACAAATTTCAATTCATTTTAACTTTAAAAGAGAGAAAAAAGACCTGCCTGTTAGGATCTACAGTATTTGATTAGAAAAGGTGGTTTGTGCTTTTTCTGAAACTGACGGTGTCAATTACACAGTTTGGTCACTAGGTGTCAGTCTTGCTTAAAGTCAGATTATCAATCCATAAAGGCTAGATCCTTCGTGGCATAGATTCAGCAAGGTACTGGAAATATTAGTTAGTGATTTTAGTCCATATTGACATGTCAGCATCACACAGTTGCTGCAGATTTGTCTGCTGCACATCAATTATGTGAATCTCCCGTTCCACCGCATCCCAAAGGTGCTCTATTGGATTGAGTCAGGTGACTGTAGAGGTCATTTGAGAACAGTGAACTCATTGTCATGTTCAAGAAACCAGTCTGAGATGATTCACGCTTTATGACATGGTGCGTTATCCTGCAGGAAGTTGCCATCAGAAGTACACTGTGGTCATAAAGAGATGGAAATGGTGAGCAACAATACTCAGGTGGGCGTTGACAGGTGCTCAGTTGGGAATAATGAGTTTAAAGTGTGCCAAGAAAATATCTCCCACATCATTACACCACCACCACCACCAGTCTGAACAGTTGATGCAAGGGCAGGATGGATCCATGCTTTCATGTTGTTAACCCAAATTCTGACTCAACCATCCGAATGTCACAGCAGAAATCGAGACTCATCAGACCAGGCAATGTTTTTTCAATCTTCTATTGTCAAATTTTGGTGAGCCTGTGCAAATTGTGCAAAATGAGCCTCAGTTTCCTGTTCTTAGCTGACAGAATAGGCACCTGGTGTAGTCTTCTACTGCAGTAGCCCATGTTGTGGGTTCAGAGATGCTCTTCTGCAGACCTCAGTTGTACAGAGTAGTTATTTGAGTTACTGTTGCATTTCTATCAGCCTCAACCAGTCTGGCCATTCTCCTCTGACCTCTGGCATCAACAAGGCATTTGCGCCCACAGAACTGCCGCTCACTGGATATTTACTGTTTTTCAGACCATTCTCTGTAAACCCCAGAGATGGTTGAGCGTGAAAATCCCAGTAGATCAGCAGTTTCTGAAATCCTCAGACCAGCCCATATGGCACCAACAACCATGCCATGTTCAAAGTTTTAAATGTTCCTTTCCTGATCTCGTTTTACATGTTACAGCACATAATTCCATTACATCACCAAGTAATTCACATTTCCTTCGGAGTTTCTTGTAATTTCGGGTGTTTAATTTTTTATTTGTCGACTTTAACTGCAGTTTGCCAATTTCACTTTTATTCAGGAACATTTCATGCAAGTCCCCCAAGACAAAAGAGATATTGGATGCGAGTATGAACTGCTGTTGTTTTAATGAAATTTACCTCACGCCACATGGAAAAAAAACCTCTGCATTTTGTGAAAGGTGTCTGTGGTCCTTTATTGATTAGGTGCAGAGAATAGTGTCAAACAGCCATGTGTGTATGGACTATCCTATCGCAAAATGCAGCAAAAATACTACATGATGGTAATAGTTTGATTGCAACGCTTCCATGTCTGTACTGCACTTCAATCATGCAACTCAAATAGGCATACTCAACGTCTTAATTACATTTCTGTTTTGTTTTTTTTCTGATTATGACTTTAGTCGGATTAAATTGATAATAATAGTAAAAAAAAAAAGTTTTAAAAAATCTGTTTACATGGTAGACTTTTAATCCGAGTATAGACTTAATCATATTCAAATCGGATTATTGGTGTCCTTGTAAGCATACTCAAAATCACTATCATATTTACAAGATATTTGCACTACATACACTGTTTTGCACTCTACTGTACTTCTTTTTTGTACGTTTTGCACTATATACTGTTTTGCATCTGCACAACTCTGGTTTGCACTCCTTGCCATGTGCCCTTAAGTGTAATTGTATTGTCTACAATTTTAATTTTTACTTAGAGCATGCATATATAGCTGGTAGCTAGCTCTCTGCAACTCTCACATGGTCGCTCACTGAAGCCAAGCAGGGCTGCACCTGGTCTAGTGAGGCCAGCAGGGAGCGTTCAACCTGCAGTCTGTGTGGGTCCAAACGCCCCAGTATCTTGATGGGGATTATATACTGCTCAGTGAGCGCCGTCTTTTGGATGAGATAAACGGAGGTCCTGACTCTCTGTGGTCGTTAAAAATCTCAGGATGTCCTTCGAAAAAGAGTAGGGGTTAAATCCGGCCATCCTAGCCGAATTTGCCCACTGGACTCTTTTCATCATGCCCTCCTAACCATCCCCATATAATACTTGGCTTCATCACTCTGTCTCCTCTCCACCAATCAGCTGGTGTGTGGTGTGCGGTCTGCTGCAACATGGCTGCCGTCGCATCATCCAGGTAGATGCTGGACACTGATGGTGGATGAGGAAATTCCCCCCAATAAAGGAATATTATTATTATTATATTTTAGATTATATTATATGTGTAATGGTATTTGTTGTAATTTCTTTTAAAACTTTATTATTTGTATTAATATTATATATTAGGCACCCAGGGTCTGAAAGTAATGCAATTTCAATTGTCTTTATGTCCTGTACATGTGGTTGAATTGACAGTAAAGCTGACTTAGATGTTAATCAAGCCAGATAAATTAATCTTTTTTTTTTTTTAAAGACTAGAACGTTTATTTAAACAGTTGTTACACTAGAATTTATTGGATACATAAAAACTCAACATCTGACAAAAACAATGATTAAATATTAAAACCTGCGCTGTAAAAAACATCTGTTAATGAACAGTTTCCGTATTTTGTGATTCACACATGTTTTAGTTTATTTACGATTGTGAATTGCATTATGGGATGTTGATCTGTGCTCTGTCGACTTTTGATGTAAAAAAAAATTTAAACTCTACAGTTTAACAAAGTGACTTTTATTGACATTTTAGTAGTTTGAAATCAGTTATAAGACATAATAAGTAGAGAAATAAGTCTGTAAAATAACTGTAAATGTACTGGCAGCTTTATGCTATTTTTGTAGCATAATATACAACACCAACCCAGACAATAGATCACTTTAAACCAGTGGTCACCAAACTTGTTTCTGGAGGGCCAGTGTCCAGGAAATTTTAGCTTCAACCCTAATCAAACACACCTGAGCTAATCAAGGTCTTACTTGGTATACTTGAAACATCCAGGCAGGTGCGTTGAGGCAAGTTGGAGCTAAATCCTTCAGGGACACCAGCCCTCCAGGACCGAGATTGGTGACCCCTGCTTTAAACTATTAAAAATGTCATTAAAAGTCCCTTTTTCCAACATTTCAAGATTAAAAGGTGTTAGAAGAAAGATCAAGCTCCCATAATGTAATTCAAAAGCAGAAATAAATAGAGAAAAATAAGAAATAAAAACATGAAATCACAAAATACGGAAAACTGCAAATTTACAGACATATTTATTGTACATACACAGAAAATAAATTAAAAGAGTTTGATCAATTTAAAAGTTCATCATCCATCTAGGCTGCTAATCTCCTGATTATATCTTGGGATGGAAATCAAACCTTTTCCAGATATAATGCATCAGCTCTTCACTTTGCTCACTTCAGGACCACACAAAGATTTGCGACTCCTCAGGCTATACCTTGGCTGTTGAAGAAACAATGAAAAACATTAGCATTCAGACACATTTGCAATCAAAATACAGCTGGACAACACATGTGCAACAGATCTGCATAACTGCTTCGCATGAAATGGAACTGTATTATTGAGAAAACAATGGCTGAAGCGTCTTCATAAATCTAAGTGTCGTGGATCTTCAAAGAAGGAGTAAGAATTTTAATTTATATTATTATTCATTTGCAGGCAGCTTGCTGGCGCAGTGGATAGCACAATTGCCTCACAGTAAGAAGGTCACTGCTTTGAGTCCTGGCTGGGTCAGTTGGCATTTCTGTGTGGAGTTTGCATGTTCTCCCTGTGTTGGTGTAGGTTTTCTCCGGGTGCTCTGGTTTCCACCACAGTCCAAAAACATTTGGATTAGGTGAATAAACTAAATTGTCTGTAGTGTATGGAGTGTGTATGGATGTTTCCCAGTGATGGGTTGCAGCTGGAACGGCATGCGCTGTGTAAAACATATACTGGATAAGTTGGCAGTTCATTCCGCTGTGGTAACCCCAGATTAATAAAAAGACTAAGCCGAAAAGAAAATGAATGTTTCATGTGCAACATTTAATTTTTTTGTAATAATATTTCTGGAAAGGAACTTACTAAAACAAACTTGCATCAACAGAAATTATCATCAATTCAAGCCGTGCAAGTTGAGTCCATAAGGAAAAATATTCAATTAAACAATCTGTTATTTTACTAAATATTAATGTTTATATAAAATTATATTTTTTCCATCAATTAAAGGTGCAATATGCAAGTTTGACAAACAGTGATTGAACTAGGTATTGCACTCCCAGTTCAACACACACACAAGAGCAGTGTGCCAGATTGTTGACACCAACAGCAGTGTGCCTGACAGTCGAGCCTAAAGGCTGATTTAAGTTGTGTTTTAAATAAAAGCAACATCACACGTCAGAAGGAATATTTATCATATTAAAAGAGTTTTTGTCCTAACCAACACCTGAATTATAGATCTTCTATTTCTTGCAGTTAAACAACAGAAAACTGACAATAGCCGCATTTTCACTATTGCACCTAAGGCGAGCGAGCCAAGGCCAGTCACATTTCCACTGTGACTTCCAGGGCCTGATCAGGCCAAAGCAGGGCTTTTTTGGGGCCAGCGGCCGGCCTTTTTTTCGGCCCGTCGAATACCTTAGGCCAAAGAGGGCCAGCTGGGGCTTCAGGGTGGAGTGAAAGGAGAGGCGGACTTTGACAGAGTCTGGTAAAGATGGCATGCCGTCATTACACTAGTTTTCTGATCGCACACGAGTACATGCACCAAACAAATAAATAAATAAGGGGAAAAAAAGCATCTAGCCTTATAGGCTGCGGGTCTATTTACTTATGATCGCCCTTATGTTTCCCTTTTAAATGTGAGGCTGTTGCATAAAATAGGCCTAATAAAGATTTAATTTATAAGTGACATTCTTTACTGCATCCTCCTTGATGTTTCAATGACGCATAATAATCTTTACACCATATTAAAGACACAGCAGACAGTAAAGGTTGTCAAGAGTTTTTGTCAAGTTTAAAAGGTGTGGTTGTGCGCGTTTAGATGCCTGTATGTGAATGTGAGCACTGGCAAAAAGAGCCCTCGCTTCACAGCTCTGTTGATGCCACAAGCGTTTTCTTTTCTGTTTTTATTTATTTTGGAGATAACACACAATATAAATACAACAGAAAGACATAAAACTTTACAAATGACGTGTCTACTATAGTAGACTCAAAACAATAGTGTCATGTTTCGATAAACTAGCCTAAGCTATATTGAAATAATTTAAAGAATTAAAAATATCGGATGTAATAAAAACACATTAAATAAATAAACCAATATAAAACAAACAAAAGCTAGAACAATGTAGGTATTTACAATACATAAATCAAACTGTTTTACAGCCATATTAAACTTTCATTTTACAAAGGCCTCTCTGAAAAAAAGATTTTAGATATTTTCTAAAAACAATAAACACCGGAGGAGGATTGAAATATTATTTATAAAGTATTTGGATACAATCATATAAATCAAACAAGCGGCAACCTCCCGCTCTGCCTCAGGAAGCCAATACGGAAGTAACTAAAACTGCAATTCATCCAAAATTCCGCTAGCCCTGGCCGCTCCTGGCTCCAAAATAGAGCAAATTTCAATTGAGCCCACTGTTAGCATGGCCAAATTTACAGCAGAAAAAAAGGTGTTTACAGCCTGGTACAAAAAAAGATTTTGGTTAATACAGCTAATATTACCCTTCATGACAACTGTGAGGGAGTGAATTTTTTTATAACTCATCCGTTTCCTTTATATTAAGTTATATTAAGTTTGCATAATTAAGGGCGTGGCCACATGAGTGACAGCTAGGTCTCACTGGTCGCCGTCACGTCACCTCTGCTGAATCCTGCAGATTAGCCACTAAACTCGGCATATTTATCATATTTCTGTGTTGTTTTATGTGGCTTTACACAGTCAACTGCCTTTTGGACTTATTTCCTACAATTATTAGATGGCATGGCATGCTGAGTGCACTTAATTGTGCTCACAAACCATTCACGTGGCCTCCGTTTCCCATGTGAGTAAAGTTATATACTTATCTACCATCTCTATACATGTATTTGTTTTATTTAAGATCATTTATCGTTTTTATTTATATTTAGAGCTGTAATGCACTCCAGAATCTGTCAGATTGATTAGCTGTAGGCTCTAGAACAGTCATCTGAAGCGTTATCATACAGTGTTATGCTGGATTTCATCAATATTTCATTAACATTAACTAACACAGACTATACCTGAAGTGTTTGGAAGTAATTTGCGTTTTCCTCCTGTTGAAAAACGTCATAAGAACAATGTTTAGTGGCTCAATGTATTACAGCAGTGTTTTTAAAAGACTAAACACTTTATTGATATAGTGTACAACCAAGCACAAGTGGTCAGAATACAAACGAGTCACAGGTGATAAAGTATTAAGCATTTCTCCCAAAGTAAAGTGTGTCTGAATCAGGTCCAAGCAAACTGTCTGCAGGTGTCTGAAGCTCCGCTTACTCTCCGCCTCTTTGCCCTTGTTTCGTATCCCGCCGTGGGTGTGATGACGCGAAAACAAAATGGCGATGGTTGGCCGCGCCTACTTATGGCTTCTTTTGCGCTCTTTAGAAACCTATGGGTGACGTCACGGATACTACGTCCATATATTTTACAGTCTAAGAAATCAAATAGTGCAAACAGAGCATTTATTGGGTGAGTGAAACTAGGCTACCTTTTTCTCTGTCACGCAGTCCTGCGCAGCGCCGCTTTACAAACGCATCAGGAAAAATTGCAAATACAAAATGTGTTCTTTTTCCTCAAACAAGTGTTTATGTTTTTATATGAAGTGGTAAAATGAAATTTTAAAATTTAAATACATGAAGAGCTTTATTAGTGAAAAGAATCATTAATAAAAATATGAATTCCTAAGTTCTGCTCCAGTACCTCAGTGTCCTCCACCAGTACACTGTACACCGTGGCGGAGGACGTCCTCAATCGAGACCCTGATGTGTGCCGCTGACGTCTCTTTAGTGTTTCAGAGCTGCTCTGTGTTTCCTGATGTCTGTCTGATGACAACACAAAAGATCAGCATCCATTTAAGCTCAGTTCAACAAATAAAGCAACAGTAAACAACATTAACATTCCTTTTTTATGTAGATAAGACAGACAGACAGACAGACAGAGAGACAGAGACAGAGAGACAGAGAGAGAGACAGAGAGAGAGAGAGAGACAGACAGACAGACAGACAGACAGATCGCATCAAGATTTAATCTAGACAAACATTGTATAAACTACCACAGTGGTAATCTAAACAGGGCTTTAGAAACAATACTTACTATCTTGGGACTTTGGGAATATCGACAGGGCTTCATTCACAACACTTGAGGGATGCAGAATAACCAAACTGTCCTCTTGCTCTTCCCACCTGCTCTCCCACTGTTTTCGTCTGGACCTCTTCCATTCATCCACAGACGCGGAGAGACATTCTAGTAGGAATTACAGTGAAAGATCGAGAAGAAATCCCGAAAGGTAGCCATTAAACATGGAGGTAGCTGCTCTTTTGGAGATATACCTGCTTTTTGCAAGGCCTGCTGCAGATCAGAGCGAGTCTCTTTGAGCTCCTTCAGTATTTCCAGACTCTCCCGGCTGATGTTGCGAAAGCGAAGAGCGAAGAACAGCAGAACGAGGAGGCCAATAAGAAGCATGGCTTTTCTTAGGAGCCCAACGAAAAAGGCAATTTTCTCCTGTTCAAAAAAATAAAGATTGACAGAATGAAGATTCATTTTAATTCAATTCTGCTTAAATGTGAAGTGCGTTCATTTTCCCTCGGTTTATTCCCTCATTTATCAGAGGTCGCAAAAGCAGAGTGAACCACCAATTATTCCGGCAAAAGTTTTACGCAGCGGATGCTCTTCTAGCTAAAACCCAGTACTGGGAAACACACATTCACATTCACACATACACACTCATACACTATAGCCAATTTAGTCTATTCTTTAGACTGTGAGAGAAACCCAGAGAAAAAGCACCCAGAGAAAACCCACACTAACACTGGGAGAACATGCAAACTCTACAGAGAAATGCCAACTGGCTCAGCCAGGACTCGAACTAGTGACCATCTTGCTGTGTGGTGACAGTGCTAACCACTGAGCCACCGTGCCGCCCATGTGAAGTGTTCACATTCGAAATACCATCAACCATTCCTTCAGTATTATTCTGGGTTCTTACACCTCAAGTCACATTTAAGCACTTTTCAGATGCTTTTTCAAATCTTCCCACCTCTAAAGTGTGGCAATGTGCATATTTACATACATATCAGCCACTCACTAAAGACAGTGGTCGTGCTTTTTCGTAGTTCGCCTAAGCTATGGAATGGCCTACCCATCAGCATTAGGAATGCTGCTTCTCTGGACTGTTTAAGAAACTTCTCAAGACTCACCTTTATACCGTTGCTTTTAACTTTGATTATTTTTGCTATCATCCAATTGTATTGAATCGTTTACATTTTATTGTGGTCTTATTTTTACTGTTTTTTTATTGTTCTGCTTTGTTTGTAAAGCTTATTATAAATAAAATGCATCATTATTATTACTATTATTATTATTACATATACATGCCATTTGTTATAGTATTTTATATATTATAGTATTCGTTTAAAATTTGGAAAGAAGGAGTTAAGTGCATCATGATTTTGCCAAGTACAATGCGATCCTGGATTAACATTTTTGTTGATCCTGGAACATCATTTTTGTTTGAATATGTAATCCATGCACATTCCCTTTCCCTAAACCAGGGGTCTCAAACTCAATTTACCTGGGGGCCGCAGGAGGCAAAGTCTGGGTGAGGCTGGGCCGCATAAGAGATTTCACAAAAAAAAAAGTCCTTAAATGTCATTATTAACAGTTTTAATTATTTCTTCTGAACATGAAGTGTCCTGAACATTAATAGAACATTGAGTGAAGATTATGAACAGTTCTTCTGAACATGGCATCTTTTGCCTACTCCTTGCTGCCAGAGACTTGACAGCGCTTCTTCTCACAAATCTGATTGCAGATCAGAAAAATTGGTGCAGAGCTGCAGAGTGGATGCGCGCGTACTGAAGAGCGGTGTTATCGCGCGCGTACTGATCAGCTGTGTTGTCGCGCGCCTACTGAAGGGCGGGACCGAAGGTGTGCCGCGTCGCGGGGGAACTTTTGATCATTTTGGAAGGGCACTTTCTATCCAAGACTAAAAAGGGCATGTGCACTGACAGGTTGAGCCCTATATGTGCACGTGCCTGCCCTCACCTAAAAAAAAAGGCGTATATATGTATAAATAAAACACCCCCACCCCACTCCAGTCACATCAGTCTGTATCTACCTATAATATATATATAAGATGCAGGCTGTAGCTAGGTGGCAGGCTGCAGATAGGTAGCTAAGTGGCAGGCAGGGGCGGGAACAGCTTACCTTGGTTCTGGCCGGCGCGAGTTCCCTCCTAACACTTCCCGCCCGTCACAGCGTCTAACAAAGGGGCGGGGTGCGTGGTGACGTCACCGGCATCCCCGCCCCTTTCTTTACACGGCGGGCGGGGAATGCCAGTGACCGCTGTGTATGGATAGAATCAGCGGAGCGGGGAGCGCTCTCTCTCCCCGCTCCGCTGATTCTGTCAGTGTACAGCGGTCGGCGCGGGCCACAAAATATTGCACTGAGGGCCGCAAATGGCCCGCGGGCCGCAAGTTTGAGACCCCTGCCCTAAACCCAACCATGACTGAAAATTATTTTCTAAAATCAGAGAGAAAAAACAGTTGGACAACAATAAAGTGGGAGTGCATAAACTTAACCGCAAGCATTACCTTGTAAACGTATGCCTTAATTCTGATTGGCTGATTAGAATGTAATCCAGGAACATGTCCTACTTGGATACTTATATAGGCTGCGTTCGAAACCCCCTACTACTCAGTATTTGGATTTAGACGAACTTCTCGGCTGTTAGAAAAGTACGTTCTATACAGTATAAATGGGAGCAATATGAAAGGGATTCGGACGTACTACATCTGCCATTCTGTCATGGTCAAGTGACCTACCCGCGTCAGTTGTGTCACTTCACTCCCATTCATGAACTCTCTCATGGGGCATCATGGGATAGCGCAGCATGCATGGGACTTCACTTTACATGCGCACTTCAGAATCTCGCCGGAAGTAGTAGGCCATTTTGGTAATTCTTGCATACTGATTTTTGATTTTATGAATTCAGATATACTACTCGGCTCACATACTGATTCTCATTAGCGTACAGTATAGTATGGAAGTATGCCGTTTTGGACGCAGCCATGGTATAGTATTCTAAGGAAACTTTAGATGAAACGCTGAACATTGAAGAAGAAACATTTAAGCTGAGGTTAAATGACAGTAATTCAATCTTAAATTTATATTTATCTTAATTTCATGCATTCTTTATTCTTGAAACGGTAATCTCCTACTGCTTTAATCAAAGGTTGCGAATTAAAAAAAGCATATATATAGACTATAGAATTTTAATGCAAAAGCAAAAAAATTAAAATAATATTTTAAAAGTTCTGATTTAGTAAGAAAAATTAATATGAAAACACAATTACATTAGGAAATTTAAGCACTTTATCCAAAATCTAAGCACTTTTCAATCCTTGAAAACCCCAAATTAAAATTCAAGCATTTTCAAGGATTTCCAGCATTTCCGTACAGACCCTGATTACTGAGACATTTACTAAGACATTTTGCAAACGTTTAACCATGGCAGAACCCCAAAAATTAGAAAAAAAAGAAGAGAAACACAGAGTGATAAAAAAGATAAATAGAAATATTAATTTAGAATCACAGATGACTTATTTAAGCGCAATAGCCCAAATACATGTCATAAAATAGGCTATTAATATTAATAATCATAATTTAAATAATGAAATTATATAACCTATCCCAATCCTGACATAGCTGCGCTTATAACTGAAGATGCTCCTTTAATGCATTCGCACGTTATGTTAAATTATTTTAAATTACACGCCCCATCCATAACCAACCTTAAATCATACCTGAACACTGTTTAACAGTTCCAAGTAAACTGTTTTGTGACATTCTCATAAAATCTCTCTGAATATATTTGAATATCTTTGTTCGTAATTGTTCTTAGCCCTGTCAATGTTTATCTATGTTGTATTATTATTATAATATTTCCTCTCCTGTTTCTCTTACGTTTATATTCTTTAGCTGTCAATATAATACTTCGCGTCTATGGAAGAAAGAGTCAATAAAGATAGACAATGTGTAACATCATATTCATCAAAAGACGGTTTATATGCAAGTAACCGCACCGGTCAGGGAGCGAGCCGGCATAGGAGACAAGCTCCGAGGATGCTAAAGATTGCAGAACGTCTGTCGCTGGATCCGAGGACTGATATTTACGCGATCACCAGCTGGCTTCGGTTACATAAGGACAAATATAGATGACTAAACCCTCATTTACTCATTTTACTCATACTTTTTATCATTTATAATGTCCAAAGCATTGATATTAATATTAAATGCTACTTTTGTGCCTTTTAATAGCCTTTTTCTCGCCTGTTTACTGGGTTAAAAATCTTACATTATTCCATCTCCACCTGCTGGTGAAAGCTAGAGCAGCTGGCGATCTTCACTCTGTAATCTATTGCTTTTCCTGCAGTTCCCGGATGTAATGTTGAATTTTATCAGTCGAATTTGATCCACTGAATTTATGGAAGCGAATATTAGAACTGAAATTAAATTAACTGAAAATGACCGTTTGAATATTATACATCGTATTTTTAAAGGGTATTGAATATTTTGTAAGTGAAATCTGAAAATTAAATATGAATTATTGAATTTTTAAGTATGAAAACGTGTTTGAAATATTTTTAGTTGAAATATTCACAGCTTAAATAAACAGATATGTTAAATTTCAGGACCTAAAAATACAAACCCTGGAATTCAAGTCATTAAAACGCAAGAACTTGTTAATACGGTGTATTATTTTTTTCAGTTTGTGATATTCAACAAGCTTTTTAATTCAAGACTTTCGGCATTGATTTTGTTCCATAGCAGCAGTCTTACCATCTGTTGAAAACCATGCTCCTCATTTTCCATTACAGTCTTACAGATCAGCCTTTCAAGGTAGATATTCAAAGCCACGAGCCCAAAAAGGAAGAATCTAAAATGAAACAAGATGCATCAATGTCAGCATGCGAGTTATTTAATAAAAGGGGTCAAAATAATGTACAATGTACTATTAATTACTTATTTATTTTATTTGTTTATTTGGCAGGGACGGTGTACACTAATTAGCATTGCTGCAAATACACCAGAATTTTTCATCCGTTGTCCCTTGACAGCTGTTAAAATTGTTACCCTAAAACACAACACCAAAAAATATACAATGAACTAATCATAACTAAGAAGCACTAAAATAGACATAAACTAAAAACACCAACATAAAGAAGATCAGAGTAGTTTTGCCGGTACAGTGGAAAAGTCATGCTGCAGTGGAAAAATAATGAATATTGTGTCTGACTCCATCATGAGCTTGGAGGACTGCATCCACACATCTCTGCAATAACTCAAATCACTTATTAATAAAGTCATCTGGAATGGCAAAGAAAGCGTTCTTGCAGGACTCCCAGAGTTCATCAAGATTCTTTGTATTCATCCTAGAGCACCTTGTCCTTTTTTGATTTCAGGAACTTTGATGTGGAGGCTGCAGTATGAGGAGCGCTATCCTGCTGAAGAATTTGCCCTCTCCTGTGGTTTGCAATGTAATGGGTAGCACAAATTCTTGATTCTTCAGGCAGTCGATGTTGCCATCAACTCTGCAGATTTCTCGTAGACCCCATACTGAATGTAACCCAAACCATTATTTTTCGTTCACCAAACTTGACTGATTTCTATGAGAATTGTGGGTTCCAGCAGGTCTTTTGCTGTATTTGTGATGATTGGGATGTAGTTCAACAGATGATTCATCTGAAAAATCTACCTTCTGCCACTTTTCCAAATGATCAACTAGAAGTCAGGTTATTATTTGGTGCTCTTACAACTGAGATTAACGACAAGACCTTTGTTAGGTATTGTATAATGCCAGAATGACAATATAATATCATCACAACGGAAGTACAGTCTTACATACAAAACATATTTTATTCTTAAGAATATTTTATTTAATTAGAGTCATTTAAAGAGTTTAATATTCAGGCATTTGAATCGGAATGTGAAAACGCATATCGTAAATAAATAATAATAAACGTTAACAAAAAATTGCAAGATAAAAACCAATAAAGGCTGCGATATCTGCAACCAGAACTATTTCAGTCATCAGGCACCCACATGAAAACATACTATAGTCATTTATAGTAAATACTATAGTGTTTATGAACCCTACTGACTGCTCCAGTAGAGATAAAGATGTTGCACAATCAACTAATATATTGCTAGAATTGGTTTTTAATGTTTAGGCAATATATATTGCATCACCAAAATTGATTGAGCTCATGTCCATGTGTTGTGCGATAAGTCGATATATTGCTTATTCGTTCATACTCGCCTAGCTCCAGCAGTACGGCGCACAGAGGTCAGCAGGAATGAAGCACTGAAGCCCAGAGCGTTGTAAAACAGGGAACTGAAAGTGTGCGTCTCAGACATGATGAAACTCTGCAGGAAGGCCACACGATTGAAGATTTCCGCAAATGCCACCTGCTGCTCCTGTGCGGAATGCCTCATCTCCGCAAATACATCTCGCAGTCCTGAAACATTCAAGCACATGTGGAAAGGAGGAGGTAAAAAAAAACAACAAATCAAGGCGTCGAGGTCAAGAACATACTTCAGTCTGATTTGCATTGATTGCTTCGTGTGTACTGAAAGCTAAAAATAAGACAATTTTGTAAAACTCAAATCATCCACAAAACAGCTTGAATTGAGTCTCCATGTAAAGTGGTAAGCAGAGAATTATTAGCAGAATAAATGTGACTCGTTGTAGAAACTGTCATAGTAGAATTGAATAAATAATAAATCAAAAAATTCAAACAATGAAGAGGATTTTGAAATCTAAATGACATGATATATTGATAACATAATGAATAATTGGCTAATAAATTTGATAATACATTTATCTATCTATCAATCTATCAATCAATCAATCTATCTATCTATCTATCCCTGTATAAGTGCATTCAACTTTAGAGCCCTTTAGACCATGAGACGGACCGTTTCTCTGTGTTTCGCTGGTAATGTCTTTAAATAAATTAGGCCTATTTAGTTATTGATTTATTATTTATGTACAGTAATTAAGCCATAAAATGAAAAAAGTAAAATAAATATCACCAAAGAAAATGTAAATGTAAATGTACGTACAACGTATTTATTTTTGCTTGCACTTTCATTTTAGTTGTCTTTTATTTCTTTAGTTTTAACGATTCTTAAAAGTTTAATGATTTATGAAAGAATTAAAATGCTTTGTTTCGTTATTTCATCTTCATTTACAAGTAGCAGGGTATTTACAGCTACTGTATATTTCTGTTTGTTCGCATCTAGTCCCTTTCTGCCCGCTGGCAGCAGTTGCAAACAGCTGTTACACCCAAAAACATTTTACTAATCCCTTTGTCCATCAGCAAAATAAATCATTAAACAAACACAAATAATGCAACAACACTGTTAAATACAATCTTAAATCCCCAAAACGTTTTTAATTTCTGCACATTTTAATGTTGCAATTCATTTTGAAATGAATTAATGTAAATTTATTGTTCAACACATTCAATTGCTTTAGAATTGTATATTTAAAGAATCATAATATATACGTTAATTATAATATATACTAAATAAATAATAATAAAAAAGATATATATATATATATATATATATATATATATATATATATATATATATATATATATATATATATATTCTTTTTTTATTATTATTATTTATTTAGTTATAATTATCAACCATTACATAAAAATAAATAAATATAACTAAAATAAACAAATAAATAAAAATATACATACTAATAAAAATAAACTAATAAAAATAAACATATAAATATAAAAAATGCAAATAAATAAATAAAAATAAATGAATAAATAAAAATAAAAAAATGAATAAAGTTAGGCTTGAATGGGCCAGAACTTCAACATTTCTACAGCATTTTTAAACTCCCTTTACACATTTTCCAGATGATCACAATGGTGTTATGCTTTAAAAGTTGTTTTGTTTTTAAGTCTTCTTTATAAAAAATACCTCTTTTACACCTAAAAGCAGAATCTCTACTGTGACACAGAGTATATCCAAATTAAGCTTATCAAACAAGAACATATGTAGCGTGGGATTTCAGGATTCAATCAATTATAAAGAATAGATTGGATGATTGTAGTTTGCCATTGGTGGACATCCTGTGAATGACAGCTTGATCCCGCCTCCATTGCACCAGTAAACATCAAAGAAGTGATGTCATGCAAGAGAGAGGACTAGAGTTGTTTCAATTACACATTACAATCACAACAGTCATCACATGAATGAATCAGATTCTAAAAATAAAAACAGGAATCGTCTATTTTGATTTCATGATAATTTCCACTGTTGGTGATTCTAAACCACACATCACACTAGAATTAGCATATGTGGTCAATTATTTGTAATTTAGTTTTATACTTTCAGTAAATAAGATGTCCATTGATATATGGTTTGTTTGGATAGGACAAAGTTTGGCTGCAATTTGAAAAAATATGGAATTTTAAGGGTTTAAAAATCTAAATATTGAGGAAAAATTGCCTTTAAATTGTCAAAAAAAATCCTCATACATCTGTCCAATGACTCAAATCACTTATTAATAAAATCCTCTGGAATGGCAAAGAAAGTGCAGGACTCCCAGAGTTCATCAAGATTCTTTGGATTCGTCTTCAATGCCCGCTCCTCTTTCTTAACCCAGACATGCTCAATAATGTCTGTACCTGGTGACTGGGCTGGCCACTCCTCCAAATTAAGCTTCTAAACAAGAACATATGTAGGGCAGGATTTAATAATTCTATAAAGAATTGATTAGATGATTGTAATTTGCCATTGGTGTACATCCTGTGAACGAAAGCTTGATTACTCCTCCATTGCACCAGTAAACATCGGAGAAGGGATGTCATTAGAGGGAGGACTAGAGTTGTTGATATTACACATTGCAATCACAACACTCATTTCGTAAATGAATCAGATTCTAGAAATAAAATTAGGAAACGTCTAACTTGATTTCATGATGACTTTCATTGTTGGTGATTCTAAACCACACATCACACTAAAATTAGCATATGCGGTCAATTATTTGTTATTGAGATTTATTCTTTCAATAATTAAGTTATTAATTGATGTATAATTTGTTCAGGTAGGACAAAATTAAGCTGCAATTAAAATGTTGAAATATTAGGAGTTTCAAAAAAAAAATCACCTTTAAAATGTCCAAATTAAATCCTTAGCAATGAATATTACTAATAAAAAAAAATCAATTTTGACAGTTATGGAAGATAATGTACAAAATGTCTTCATGGGACGTGATCTTATTATTCTAATGATGTTTGGCATAAAATACAAATGTACAATTTTGATTTATACAATGTCTTTATGGCTTTTCCTGCAAATATACATGTGCAACTTAAAGTCTGAGTGAATCAGAAATTGCTGCAGACTTTTATTCCAGTATGAAGACATATTTCCAACTGAAATGTAATATTAAGTAGGGGGCGGGGTTCATTCTTGCACTCCTCCTCTCATCTTTCACTCGCATTAAACTAAAGGCGCGTTTCACACTGGCAATGCAGATAGTATTTTCTGTTCAAGGTGCTGAATGAAAGTTTCTGACTCTTCTAAAGCATAAAAATACCATAATATGTTTGCAGATATTTAAGAAACATGCTAATTGAACATTCTTGCTTGTGAACATGTCTTTGTTTTGGTTCCTTTAAAAAAACTGAGTTATATCCAAATACACATGCTGTGCCCCATATGCTCTAAAACCTGACAGGTGGACAAATCTAAGCTTGTTTTTAATAAAACAAATATAAATATGGATATAATAAACAATACTGCTAATGATGATAACATACAAAAGCAAATTGTCACGAATAAACTGAAAAAGCCCCCGAGATGAAGGCATGAAAGTATGGTTTATATATTTATGTAGGCTAGAAAATAATATTTTTTGTAATATTTTAATCCTTTATATTTATATCATACATGTATCCTTATTATATCCTATATATATCCTTAATATTTGCATTTTTTTTTCATATGTGAAAATATTTGCGTATTGCTCTACATCTTCTGTGTATTAAGCAATTTGTAAGCAAGGTGCCCAACTAACGCGCTCTGCGCTGTACAATAGATCGGCTTTGTTCTGGTCTATTGAAAAATCTGTTATAGTTTCTCAAAATAGCAACGCTATTTAAACAGCGTGGCGCAAAACATCAAAATGACTAATGCGGCAAGCTGAAACAAGCAAACAACAATTGCGTTGCGCCTTGGCCACACTGCGCCAGGTGTACGATAGAGCCCTATGTGTGAAATCACGTGATCCAGAGGTGTATAAAAGAGTAGCATGCTGTGATAAATATTGTCTGAACCGGTGTGCTTGAAACGTCACAGGCTTTAGGAGCTCTGGTGTTGCCGCCTTTCTGAATAATCATCTCATTTAGAAAGCAATCAAACCTTGAGTCGAGTCCTGCAGGGTGCTCTTGAGCTCCTCTCCATTGCGAAGGATGCTCTCCTGGGATTTCAGCGCAGCACTTTGGGCCACAACCAGATCCTCTGCCATCCGCTGGGTGGACGCCAACTGCTCCGCTACACCCGCTGAACTCTCAGTCAACCTAAAACCCAGATAAACATCGGCTCACATTAATATTTTATGCACATAACTACCCTTCACATTCAAAATCAGCATCTAGGGAGCTTTTTCAACCTGTGAATGGTGCTCTGGGCTCGTTGCTGCCAGCGCTCGCTCTGCAAATAATGGCATATGCTGTGGGCATGGGTGAAAAACTCGGTGTAGGTGTTGAAGGCCACAGGGTCCATGTCTTGGGTGCAGGTTTTGACATCACTGTCTTCTGTGCATTCTGGGAAACTACGACCGGACCTGGAATCAATGATTAGAGAGAGTGTTGGAATTTATAATCAATTCCATGCGTGTTCAATACAAACTCAGGAGGCGGAGATCAATATCAATAATATTAGTAATTTATTAAGTACAAATGTATAATTCGATTAGGGCCCTGGGTTGCACAAATGTGTCCTATTGGTTGTACAATGCCATCCAAGAGAACACACCAGGCGCTCTGAGTGTTTTCTTAGGACTACAGATCCAGTTTATATACACAGAAGAAGGAGAAGGCGGGTTGTCTCTGTCAGCTTGTCTGCACCATCTCTAGTTCCTCTTTTCTGCACAGAAGAACTGGACCAGTTAAATGCACATGCTTAGAGACCTCCATAGGCTCCGATATGTTTTCATAAATGGTTACACAGGAAATCAGAAGCGAGAGACATGTTATTTTTAGTTTCGGCTGCACATTTCTTGTCCGAGATAGCTCTTTCTGCAAAATGCCGCATTAGTATGCAAAACACATCACTTCAAAGGCCAGATTGGGTTAGCATATAATTTGACAGAGCATACAAAATATAGTATAGAATATAAAAATATATATGGTAAAGAATGACTGTAAGGTAAATGATTTAACATCTCTTTAGGCAAAGCATACACAACATACCACTAGAGAATCAAGGATAACTCTAATGAGAAATGAAAAAAAAATTATTATATTTTCTACAAGAGAAAGTTAAAACATTTGGTTTGTATGATTTGTTTGTTCTGATATAGTCATAAAGAGCAGGGAAATCTCTGATTAATACATTTGATATGAAAATAGTGATATTAAAAATAAAACGCTTAATTTGCGATGATTGGATGGAGGGACATAATGGTCAAATAGACAGGTGAACAGATAGAAGAAACGAATTAATAGATGAACGAAGAAGATAGCTAGACAGACATGGCAAGATAGATGTATGGATAGAAAGATATACAGACAGAGATGGATGGATGGATGGATGGATGGATGGATGGATGGATGGATGAATGAACATAGATGAAGAATGACATGGACACACGAATAAAAAATAAATAGATGGATAAACGAATAGACACATAGCTAGACAGATGAATAGATACAAAGATAGACAGACAGACAGACAGACAGACAGACAGACAGACAGATAGACAGATAGACAGATAGATAGATAGATTAAAAATAAATGAATAGATAAATGAATAAACAGATAGCTAGAAGGATGGATGGATGGACAGACAGACAAATAGACATAGTTGACAGATAGACAGTTGGATAGATGGAAAAAAGATAAACGATGGATAGACGAATAAAAATAGACAGACGGACAGACGGACGGACGGACGGACGGACGGACGGACGGACGGACGGACGGACGGACGGACGGACGGACAGACGGACAGACGGACAGACAGACAGACAGACAGACAGACAGACAGACAGATAGATAGATAGACAGATAGATAGATAGATAGATAGATAGATAGATAGATAGAGTCAAACAAAAAATAGACATAGTTGACAGATAGACAGTTGGATAGAAAAAAAACAATGGATAGACAAACAAATAGCTACACCGGATGGACGGATAAAAAGAGACAGAAAGATAGATGGATGGATGGATGGATGGATGGATGGACAGACAAAAAACTAATGGACGGATAAACGAATAGAGATGGAACGATAATTGACAGACAGAGAAAGATGGATAGACAAAGTTAGTTGACAAATTGACAGATTCACAGACGGATAAAAGATAAATGGATGGATAAACGAATAGACAGATTGCTAGTCAGATAGACAGCGAGACAGACAGATGGATAAAAAGATACAGTTATTGCACAGCTGAATGATATAGAATGACAGTTACCAAATGATCAATATACAATATAGAAATGCTAAATTGTTTTAGACTTGTACATTTAATTTTAAATAATTATAATTCAATAAAAATGATATATAATTTATTTAGTAATAATTATCAACCATAATGCTATATGTGGCAGAAAATAGTTTTGATTTCAGAATCTGGAGTAAAATATTGAATTGACCTTTGCAGGTGGCAGTGTGTGAAGGACAAGGCGATCTTGCTCTGCACATCATCACTGAACTCCTTACAGCTTGTTTGTATTTTCTCCAGAGCTCGAGACCAACAGGCGCCATACCGCGGCTGCTGCGACAGTTCCCGGACCCGCTGCAGCTCCAGGCGGCCCTTGTCCTCCAGGTTTTTATCGCTACTCACAGAACAAACAACAATGGCTAAAAGCGCCGTGGTCCACATTGCGCACCACGAGGAGCTGATGAACACACAACGGACGTGATTTAAGAACTTGGAGATCTTCAGTCGATATTATGACTGTCGATATATTTGATAATTACAAAAACTTAAAGCCTTCAAAAGGCATGCACCGTCCACGCCTACGTTAATTGCGTTCGTTTCTTTAACCACCACAGACAGCAATTGATCCGCCTTCAGGCTCAAACAAGGCCTGTGTTTGCGGTATTTCATACAGACCCGCACACACCTTTCAGGACCAGACACACGATCCAGGGCGGGGCGAACCATATATGGTTAATGATGGATCGATTTTTGAATATTCCTGGTTTTTTTTCTCTTGTATGTACTTATTTGATGCTTTACTTCACTGTAAAACTCATAAACACTCTTTGTAACAAATTTGCATGATGTTGTTATTGTTACCCTGAGTCCCTGACATTAATAAAAATAAATAAAAACATATTTTTTGAATATTCCAAAAATAACCAAAACCACACATTTTTATTTTTTTATATTAATGACCAAATATCACATACATAAATGTAAATTTACAGGAAAAAAGTAACATGTTTTAAAGAATTTAAAAATGAAACTAAGTATTATATTGAATCCATATTGCCCTCAAACAAAAACAGAGAAACAAAGCGACTCAAGTTATCAAAATATGTACATTCTTTAAAGCCTTTCGGCAAAATTATCTGTATCTCCTCTTAGCATGTGTAATAGTTTGCATGTTATATTTTTATTGAATGTGTTGTCATTGTTCAATAATAAATAAATAAATAAAATGAACTATTCAAATAAAAAATCTGTGGTTTCAACTAAATTAAAATAATCCAGATTAAAGTTGCCCAAATGAAGTTCTCAACAATGCCCATTACTAATCAAGAAATAAGTTTTAGAATATTTATTGTTTAAAAAATGTCTTCATGAAACATGATCTTTTATTGATATCAGAATTATTTTTGGCATTTAAAAAATCTATATTTTTGATCCATAATGTATTTTCAAAAATATGCCTTTTTTTGTTTTGTGGTCCAAGATCACATATTGTTGTGCCACTTTTGACCCACCCCTGTGTTACTTTAGTCTCTACTGATCAGAAGTAACAATGTGCAGTTTATGTTCAAAGTTAAAATTAATTTGAAGTTGTTCTACATTTTGTGCAGAGTACCACCTTGTATTGATTTATCACACTTGTGAGTTAATAAAAAGTTATTTATGAACAACAGTAATTTCACCCTTGCTCTCTCCATTGTATATAAGTAAAATAAATAATCTTATTTCAGTTTGAATAACAAGATTATATACTTACCCTAGGCAGCATATGGCTCATTGGTCAACACTGTCTCCTCACAGCAAGAAGGTTGCTGGTTCAATTCCCGGCTGGACCAGTTGGCGTTTCTGTGTGCAGGCCATTTTAAATAAAGCCATCTTTGGGACTACAGCAAGCCAAAATCAGAGCCATTATCTACAAATGACAATTAATAATTAATAAAAACCATGGCTATTCATTTATTTTAAAAATATAAATATTATTTAAAATGAACAATTACAGTGGTGTGAAAAAGTGTTTGCCCCTTTACTGATATCTTATATTAATCAAAGAAAACACAAGGAAACGCATCATCCTGGGAGTCCCTGGCCAACCAAAATTACCCCAAGAGCGCAGGCAGGGGCGGACTGGCCATCTGGCAATTCTGGCAAATGCCAGAAGGGCCGGACCATTTTTTAAATGTGGGCCTTTAAGCTATTTTTTTATTCATTTATTTTTTTCATATGTATTGTTTTTTAAATGTAGGCAACTTAGTAAAAATAGAATAATAGTAAATGTTAAGCATTGGCCCAATCGGCAACAACCGGCTGGTTTCGAGATGGGCTGACCCAATCTGAGGTTACGCAGAAGTAAGACAGTGCAGTGGCGCAGTAGGTAGTGCTGTCGCCTCACAGCAAGAAGGTCACTGGTTCGAGCCTCATCTGGGTCAGTTGGTGTTTCTGTGTGGAGTTTGCATGTTCGTGTGGGTTTCCTTCACAAGTCCAAACACATGCTATAGGTGAATTGGGTAGGCCAGTTAGGAATTGGGTAACCCAGTAATGGGTTGCAGCTTTGAGGGTATCCACTGTATAAAACATATGCTGGATAAGTTGGCGATTCCCAGATTAATAAAGGGACTATCCCAAAAAGAAAATAAATGACATGATTGCATATACAAATGGGTTGTTTTTGTTCCAGTCACATACATTAAATGTTTAAATATCTCTTAAATAGGTGCTGCTTATATAATTTTATCATCTGTACACCAATATAAGTAGTGAATGTGCGTGTCCTTGGTGTGGCTACAGTGCCAGGGCTGATTTTTAGTCCCAGTCTGCCCCTGAGCGCAGGAACAACTCATCCATAAGTTCACAAAAGACCCCACAACAACATCCAAAGAACTGTAGGCCTCACTTGCCTCAGTTAAGAGGAGTGTTCATGACTCCACCATAAAAAAAGAGACCAGGCAAAAATGGTTTGCATGGCAAGTTCCAAGATGAAAAACAACATGAAGGCTCGTCTCAGATTTGCCAGCAAACTCTTGATCTTGATGATTCCCAAGACTCTTGGGAAAATACTCTGTGGTCTAATGAAACAAAAGTTTGACGTTTTGGTAGGTGTGTGCCCCATTACATTAGACAATAGTAATGCTGAATTTCAGAAAAAGAACATGATAGCAACAGCAAAATGTGAGGGTGGTAGTGTGATGGTCTGGGGATGTTTTGCTGCTTTAGGAACTGGAAGTTTTGTGGTGATAAATGGAACAATGTATTTAGCTGTGAACCAAAATATACAGAAGGAGAATGTCTGGCTATCTGTTAGTGACCTCACGCTGAAGCGAACTTAGGTTCTGTGACAGGACAATGATCCAAAGCACACCAGCAAGTCTACTTCTGAATGGCTAAAGAAAAGCAAAATGAAAACTTTGGAGTGGCCTAGTCAAAGTTTTGACTTGAATCTAATTTAGATCCTGTGGCATGACTTTAAAAGGGGGATCATGCTCGCAAACCTTCCAAAGTGGCTTAATTTCAACAATTCTTTAAAGATGAATAGGCCAAAATTCCTCCACAGCACTATAAAAGACTCAGTGCAACTTATCGAAAATGACTGACTGCAGTTGTTCATACTAATGGTGGCCCAAACAGTTATTATGTTTAGGGGGCAAACAGTTTTTCACACAGGGCTATGTAGTTTTGTGTTTTGTTTTTTCTTAATTAAAAAAAAAACTTCATTTTAAAACTGCATGATGTGTTAACTTTGACTTATATGTAAATTGATTTGATGATCTGAAACATTAAAGTATTACAAACATACAAATAAATAAGAAATCACTAAGGAGGCAAACCCTTTTCCACACCACTGTATATAATATCGTATTTGTTTACAATTTTTCACCTAATAGTCACATCAAAAAACAGAAGACAGAAATTACTTGTGAAAATTGGTTGACAGTTTTGTTGTTCATTGGTACTAAGAAGGAAGTATACTATATTTACAGTCACTTAACAGTATCTCACACAATCATGTATTAGCATGTGCTGATTATATCAGATGACAATAAGACTGCTGTTTTTAAATATGGCAATTGTTTAGTATGCTGCTTTTAACGGGATTTTGAAATCTTGCGTATCCGTTATTGATTTACTTGTAAAGGTTTTAACATTTATACCCTTTTCTGCCTTCTGCCAAGTCTGTCTATGGGCCCATAAGAAAGGATATAGAATGTCCCCTAATAGTACTTTCATTTCCTCTTTTTCATTTCTTTACCTCATTATCACATTCATGTGTCAAAAGAGGAAGCTGTAAAAAATAAATTGTAAACTTCAGCATTGCAAATATCACCCAACAGCACTTGTTGATTGCTCACAGCTGGAAAATGTCAGTATCAGGCTAAATGTGCAACCGTTTCACATGAAAAAAACGCTTATACTTTCTTGCTGATGAGGGTGATTTATGATGCAGCAACTGTCCAAGTCCACTTTTAAATGCATTTTAAAGTAAAATAAATGTTTTAGATATGTTAATTTGCTGTAAATATTTTGAGTAGCGCAGTGGGTAGAACGTTCGCCACACAGCAAGAAGATTGCTGGTTCAAGCTTTGGCTGGGTCAGTTGCCGTTCGAGACTCGGCTGGGTCAGTTGGCGTTTCTGTCTGAGTTTGCATATTCTTTGGTTTACTCCGGGTGCCCCACAGTCCAAACACATGCGCTATAGGTGAATTGGGTAAGCTAAATTGTCTTTAGTGTATGAGTTTGTATGGATGTTTCCCAGTGATGGTATGCAGTTGGAAGGGCATCTGCTGCGTAAAACATATGCTGGATAAGTTGGCAGTTCATTCTGCTGCGGCGGCCCCAGATTAATAAAGGGACAAAGCCGAAAAGAAAATGAAAGAAAGACTTTTAAGTAGCCTATTTAAATTTTGAGAGTGAAACGGTGGCTCAGTGGTTAACACTGTCGCCTCACAGCAAGAAGATCACTAGTTTGAGTCTCAGCTGGGCCAGTTGGCATTTCTGTGTGGAGTTTGCATGTTCTCCGGTTTACTCCGGGTGCCCCACAGTCCAAACACATGCGCTATAGGTGAATTGGGTAAGCTAAATTGTCTGAAGAGTATGACTGTGTATGGATGTTTCCCAGTGAGGGTTTGCAGTTGGAAGGGCATCTGCTGTGTAAAACATATGCTGGAAGAGTTGGCAGTTCATTCCGCTGCGGCGACCCCAGAATAATAAAGGGACTAAGCCGAAAAGAAAATGAATGATAAAAGTCTTTTAATTAGTTGCCTAATTAAATTTGAGAGTGAAACGGTGGCTCAGTGGTTAACACTGTCGCCTCACAGCAAGATCACTAGTTCGAGTCTCAGCTGGGCCAGTTGGCATTTCTGTGTGGAGTTTGCATGTTCTCCCTGTGTTGGTGTGAGTTTCAGATGATATGGTCTCCCCCACAGTCCAAAGACATGCACTATAGGTTAATTGAATAAGCTAAATTGGCCGCATAGTGTATGTGTGTGCATGTAAGTGGGTGTTTCCCAATTCTGGCTTGCAGATGGAAAGGCATCTACTGCGTAAAACATACGCTGGATAAGTTGGTGGTTCATTCCACTGTGACAACCCCAAATTAATAAAGGGACTAAGCCAAAAAGAAAATGAATAAATGGTATAATTTATAATTAGGTATTTATTGCTGGCCTAAGTGGCCGATTACCTTGCTTATTAGTTAAATTCGCCCCTGCGCACACACAAACTTATATATATATATATATATATATATATATATATATATATATATATATATATATATATATATATATATATATATATATATATATATATATATATATATACATTTATATAAATTCACTTCATATTTCAGTTTTTTATTATTCAAATGGCTCAAATTCTGATTGAGTTAAGTTAAATGTACTGGCTAGTTTGCTATGTGCCTAACAAATTACAGTAGGCTACACTCTCATCTCATCTCATTTTTGTGCGCTTTTCTGGGGCTGGGGCTGGGTCGCGGGGGCAGCAGTCTTAGGAGAGAACCACAGACTTCCCTCTTCCCAGATACTTCCTCCTGCTCCTCCGGGGGGATCTCGAGGCTTTCCCAGGCCAGCCAAGAGACATAGTCCCTCCAAGGTGTCCTGGGTCTTCCCCAAGCTCTCCTCCCGGTGGGACATGCCTTCAACCCTTCCCTTGGTAGGCGTCCAGGAGACATCCAAAAAAGATGCCCGAGCCACCTTAGCTGACTTCTCTCGATGTAGAGGAGCAGCGACTCTACTCTGAGCTCCTCCCGGGTGACAGAGCTCTTCACCCTGTCTTTGAAGGCCACCCTGCGAAGTAAACTTATTTCGGCTGCTTGTATCGGAGATCTTGTCCTTTTGGTCATGATCCAAAGCTCATGACCATAGGTGAAAGTAGATTGACCGGCAAATCAAGAGATTTTTTCTAATGATATGTGATGTAATAAATTTCTATTTAAAAAAAATATTTTTCATATTATATCTTTATTTTAAATATATAGGAAATATTTTTGGTACATCAAAAATAGTGGTTATGATGACTATCAAACTAAGTTATTAATTCAATAAATTCAGCAAAAAATACTGCTTAAAATGTCACCTAAATTCAGTATTTAAAGCTCATAATTAAATAGAGAATTAGGTGAATAACTGAAAAAAGGTCCACTATTTTAAGAAAAAACACCCCTTTCAACAGGCTGGCTACAGGCCTGTCACAGTATTTCCCAGAACATTATTTCTTCTGGGGAAAGTCTATGTTCTTTTATTTTGGTGCAAATAAAAAAAAAATTAATAATATTTAGGTCTTTAAATTGCCATTTAAGCTGAAAATATCTTGCAAAATAACTAGTAAAATATTATAAAATGTCATCATTACAAAGATTAAACAAAGAAATTACTTATTAAATTACTTATTAAAACGATTATCTTTATAAATGTGTTGAAAAAACACTTCTCTGTGTTAAACAGCACTTCTGAAAATATTTTTAAAAGAATTAAAAATTCACAGGAGGACTAATAATTCTAACCTTGACTGTAGATCTAAAAAAATAAACACATGAAAACACTTGAGATTAATTTATCTTAAAGAAGCAGCATATTATTTATACATATAAAAAACACAACAACACACACTCACATAAACTATTATTCTGGTGTGCAATGCAGCTTTCCTCGCCCTGGTTCCTCTCTCTAGTTATCCGCTTCTCGGCTCTCGCGAGAACACACGCGTTACTCCCTTACTACCCTTCAACCCCACCTCTCGCGAGATCTCCGAGGATAGTGTTGTGTGTTAGAGGGAGTGGGAGAGGAGGGTGAGGGGTACCCACAAAGATGTTGCGTGATTTTTGGGAAATTTATTTATTTAAATAAAAATGGCCGCCGCAGAGAGCGGAGAGGAGAGACTGTAAGTGTGAATCGCATCCATTCCCATTGTCACGGATTCCAATGTCAGGCGTCGCGAGCGGCGATGGCGTAGGCTTTTTTTTTGATCGTCGCTGTGATATTTTGTCAGACTGAAGGGGGGGAAATGTTAGCCGCTAGCCCGCGAAGGCGTTGAGAATACGTCACTCGTGTTTCTCCCGCTCTTTTTCCACGATAAGCGGACACTTAGTGCGGGGTGTGTGTGTGTTTTTGCTGTCGTTTTCTGACGCGACTCCAAAAACTCCTCTGAAATCCGGAGCTGAGGGGCTGCCCGCGGCTTTGGACGCACACATGTTTTGTTTTGCTGATATTAGCAGCTCAGTTCTGAGGGTAGCTGTCAAAAACAGCAGGCTGAAGTAAGTTAGCTAGCTTGTGACGCTGCAGGACGATTTGCTCCAGATATATTTACCCGTCCTGGAGTGGACTTGCGTTTAGAAATGAGGTTGTTGTGGTGTATAGGTAGCGCTCTGCATCATCAGGTACCAAGTTTGCATATGCAAGCATTAAGTTGGCCAGTGTGCTATGCCTGTGCCTGATGTACGTATGTGTCTCTGTGTTGTTGTTGCAGCTCATTTCACCCCTGCAGCGTGCAAACTGAAGAACTCCAGGTGCAAAACACTGTTCATGCCGTGTTGTTCTTCTGGCTTCACTAAAATAGACAGTGAGCTTGCATTAGCTGTGCACAAGGCACTCCCATGTGAGAGCAGAGAGTGGTGATATGGTTGAGCTGACTTCCGGTAGCCTGCTAACAGATCTAGTAGCATCATTTTTGCCTCTTTATCCGTGTGTGTGTGTGGTCGACTGTGGGGTTTTGCAAAAACTGAGTGACTTGCATGACACTGGTTCGTGGTTACACACACACATACACACACTCAAGCCATGTCTAGAAAGCTAAACTTGTATCCTGTACAACTTCTTCCTGCGTAGCATGCTTTGTGAATTCAATGCAAGGCTCATTTGGTGTGTATGATATAATTAGGTTGTCAGACAAGGGTAATTTTAGAGAATTAACCAAAACAGAATGACATTAAAGTTTAGCTGTGGAATAAGACAAGCGGAATATATATATATAAATATACACACACACACACACACACACATATATATATATATATATATATATATATATATATATATATATATATATATATATATATATATATATATATATATATATATATATATATATATATATATATATATGTGTGTATAAATATATAATGCAACAGATGTGCAGTTATTTTATTAAGGCATTATACATCACGATGTATATTGACATCAGACTGTATATTGAGGTAAAATGTGTATTTATATTTACACATTCTGACTTTATCCTTAATATAATATCAGAAAAGTATTATGAATTGTGAAATCATGTTTGCAGCTGATTACTATCAAAGTACAACTGTTCACTGTCAAATGAATAGTGCTAATGTTGTTCTGAAGTCCTACTTGCATGTGATTTAAGACCAAATATTCAACAACAATATAGAGAGCATGTCACAAGATGACACTTAACGAATGTAAGAGTATAAAACCAACCGTAACTCAATAGCCTGTAGGGCTGCACAATATCGTTTCAGCATCGATATCGAAACCTGCGAATCTGCAATAGTCACGTTCCAGGGATCTGCAGTGGGGTTGTGATTATAGTTGACCAGACATTAAAGTTAACAACATGAGTATATTCATATTTTAAACATAAAGCTTAGTAATTGCATGTGTTTTTAAGACCTGACTGTTTGAATTTGTACCAAATTGAAGCCATTTTGAACACATTAAATGAAATCTTTGTTCTCAATTAAAACACTACATTATTATTATTATTATTAAACAGTGATTATTTCATTTCTGCTTCTGAATAGTGTTTGACTTGCCAGAAAATCATAAATCATTGTTTATTTGCATTTTTTTCTCTGTTGTATTCAACTTTACTTGTCATTTTTTAAATGATATTTTATGCAGATACGCTCCCATACAGATTCATCCCAATCAATCTAAAATTATAAACTCTTTACAAGCTATTCAAGTCATCTGCTAAAATTACATTTATATATAAGTGAACCAATATATTGCCATGCCAGTTTTTTTTTCAACATCTTGCAGCTCTATTATACATTACGATTTAAATCAATAATCACATGATAAACATTTGAATCACATTATAAACATTTAAATTCAATGTCGGACGGAAAGATAATGGTGCTAGACTCTATATTGAGGTAAAATTGGTTTTATATTCACACATTCAGACTTTCTCCTTAATACAATTTCAGAAACGTATTATTTGCTAATTCTAAATAGTGAAATCATATTAGCAGTTATCGACTAGCAATGTTTATAGTTGACCAGACATTAAAGTTAGCAACATAGTGGAATATAAACGTAATTTAAATAGGTCTGCACTATATATCATTACAGCATCGATATTGCAATGTGATAATTCGCAATAGTCACATCGCGAACATAGGCAATGTAGGCATGGGATGATAACCGCTTTCAAGGTATACCACTGTTTGGAAAAGTTAAGGTTTTAAAACCATCAAAATTGTTTGCTATACTGTTTCCACGCTATATGTAAGATTTTTTATTTACGTTTTTTTTGTTGTTGTTTTTAGGAAAACAATTTCTCCAGCAGAAAACACATCTAAATATGCCGTTTTAAATTATAAATAAATCAGTGTTTTTGAAACTAGTGAAGACAGCAGAAGTCAGTGATTCATTTGTATTTAGCCTGACATGTTTACTGCTCCAAAATATTTTAAATGTTTCTCAAAACAAAAATATATATTGTGTTCAAAAAGGAAAAAAGTTTTAGTTTTTTACACAGACTTTTAAAAAATATATATTTTAGAGCAGTAATCAAAATACCATCAAACTGTAAAAACCGTGATGTTTTTATCCAAGTTTACTATACCATCAGAATCTTATTCCGGCCCATGCCTAACGCAATATTGAGTCTGGATTATGATTCATCAGTTGGATGTGTTTTTGATGCTTGTGATTGTATAATGACCTTTAAAGCACTGAGGTATGATTAATTGTACCAGTTGTAACTTTAACAACAGTTTCAGCATCGATTTTATTGAATTATTTTTATCATTTACTTACTGTACTTGTATACTGTTAGACTCGGGAAGAGATAAAACACTTTTATTTCAATTGTATCTTCTTCTTTATTGTATTTATAGATTGTTATATGTGAAAATAATCACAACACATGCAAATACAGAAACGCTCTGCAAGTAGCACAGACTACAGTGAAAATGTGCCTGGGGACCCCAAAAAGATTATAGATTGTTTGTTAGATTTGATGGAGATGCACTCCCACTGCAGAATCATCCCAGTCAATCTAACATTATAAATTCTTTCCAAATAGAGATATTAAAATATTTCAGATATAAATCTGGTGAAATTTAATTCATATCGCAATATATATCGCAAAATGAAAAAAATATATCTCAATGCTAGATTTTTCCAATATCGTGCAGCCTTAATTTAAAACTTAAAGTTTATTATTTGAAAGTGTTTTTAAGACCTAACTTTACTAATCATTTTTAAATGATATTTTATGCAGATGTGCTCCCCTACAGAATCATCCCAATTGATCTAAAATTATAAAGTCTTCATAAGCTATTTAATTAAGTCATCTGCTGAAATTGCTTTTATATTGCACTATACGTATTGCAGTAAACGAAAATATTGCAATGTCAGCTTTTTCCAATATCAAGCAGCCCTAATAGACTGTATACCTACCTAATGGCTTTAATGAGGGACAAAACTACAATCCCACAAAGTCATTGCTAATGACAAATAAAAGGGAGCATTATAAACTTATCCGCTTGTGAAGTCGTGATGACTGGAATACTGTTTCCTGGTCCAAGCCGCTGCTCATTTGAATTGAGAAAATATTCGTTTATGACCACTTTTTAGTCATATCACACATTAAAGTGAATTTGATATAAAATCATGGTGTACATGAAAGTCTCTGGACATGCTGCACCACAGACATCAATATTTTAGCAATTTATAAAAAATAATCACTTACTGGCCTTCTGATTAGTCATGGAAATATACATTGTGATCGTGATTTTCGAAAGTATTACATCGCTTTATAAGCGTTTATTATAGCCGCTTTGCATGACGTCACACTTAACAAGTATATAAAGTTGTTGTTTGTCTTTATAGTAATAGTGTATTTCAATTTTCTTACAAAATATGTATAAACATACAAGTATTAAAATGTTTTGAGATTGCAAAATTTGTGGTGCACTGGTGCTTTATGGGAGTTGGAGGAGCTAAAGTTGTATTTTGCCGCTGTTTGTGCATTGTGACTCTAATTGAATAGTTTTTTTACATAATATTTTACATTTACCTTTTAATTCGTTTTCATTCAGATTCCAAATGTTGCACTTTATTGTCATGGCTCAAAAGAAAGCTCAAATAAACATTGTTAAAAGCTCATTTGTTTTCAAATGTCTTTTCAGATAGTAGTTCATGCTTGTTAATTATTGAGTGTTTGTTGTGATTTAATAATACCTATTTTAAAATCTCTACATTGGGAGCTGTATAATGCAGATATTAATTGTTTTCTGATATGCAATACACTTTTTTTTTGCTAAACATCCACAACAGTAGCTCATTAAGGTTCTATTTTAGAAACAACTGCGACATCACGGCTGAACGGCAGCGTGAACAACAAACAATAATCACCTCATGTGCTGATTGTGAGCTTTTTTCTTTGTTAAATGTTACCATTGTGTGTTTAAACATCATCATATATGCCAGTTATTGTCATAGTGAAAATAAAACAACCAGCAAACACATAGTTTGAAAACGAAATGTGAACTCAGAATGTGAAATTCGAAATGTGAACTCAGAGCAAACCAACAACATCAGTTCATCTTTATTTTTGTAGCGCTTTTGTAGATTGTAGATTAGATTGGCACAATGTAGATTGTGTCAAAGCAGCTTAACATAGAA